CCCACGGACACAGTCCTGCCCCCCCCCCCCCCTTCCTCTGGCATTCTTATCATCAATTACCTGGTGTTCAAAACTCAATTTTAGAGCATCCCATTCTGTTTTGGCCACTTGTTCACGTATCACCTTCTGGCTTGTTGATAACATGCCTTTGGAACTAGCTTCAACCCATGCTGTGCTGGCATTCATTTTCCCAGCTAGCCCAAACCTCCTTTTATTTCCTATGAAACTTTCCCCCCACTCTTTCAACAGAATAGGATTATTTTTCTGCACCCAATAAATTCTCAATAAACGTTCTATAGTGAAGACAGAGGGGTGCTGGAGGTAGTTTGACTCCAGCACTGCCTTCCCAAACATTCAGAAAATTCTCGTAAACACCTGGGCAGCTCTCCAGTTCCAGAAGGGTTGGAAGCCGTTGCTCTCAGAATTCCACATAACCAGTGGAGATTTGGCGGTGTGAAAGCAGACATATTTCTGTTAGTCTAAAAAAGGTTTTGAGATGGCTAAAAAGTCTTCTTATAACGTAGCTATGGATTTTTTTTTTTTCTAAAAAGTCATTGGTTTTGTGCTTCCTTATTCTTGAATTTACCAATTTTCATAATAAAAGCTTAATTGTTGTAATACCTCCTTGGTTTGGTTATTTAACATCTTCTTCTTTTTTAGATATAGCCCCCAATTTGGGGTTAGGGATGAGAAGAGAATTTAGGATGGATAGAAACTATTGCATCTCTCAGAATTCAGGGTTATTTCTTATTTCTCTCATATAAAAGTACAGAGATGTTGGCTCCTCAAGAGTTTTAATGCTGCCTTTGACCCACAAAGCCCCTTAATCCAGATTCCTTCCAGCACTTGGTCTCTCTGTCCCCACAGGTAAACCCAAGGCCCAAGTTAACGGTCAGTGATCCTAGCATCATGTCTGCATTGGAGGAAGGAATTAAGGAAAGAATTTAAAAGATTATTCGTGGGTCTCTTGAAGGAGGTTCGGGTTGGGGTAGGGGTAGAGGTGGGGGCTGTTTCATGAACTGTCTTCTTATGGCCATACTAACAGTAAAAGGAGATTGGGGAAAATACTTGCTTTCTATTAATTCGTGCAGAAATAAGTTGATCTGTGGTGGAAGAGGAATATTAACTGTCCTCCCTTGCCACGCTCACACCCCGCCCACTTGAGCATGCTTAGATTTTTACTGCAATACATTCCTGAAGCAATAGTGACTTCTGCAGGAGCTAAGGAAAAAGCAGCCATGTTATTGTCCCTAACTCCACACCCTAAAAATAAACATTAAAGGAGTTTTGAACATCTGCTTTCTTCCTGACACCTTCTTAACTGGTGTGTGAGTCAGAGAAGATTTTTTTTTTTTTTTGAAAATTCAATCTATTGCTCTGAGGATGTTTATAGTATGAAAGAAAGATAAGACATACTTGTACAGAAAACTGAGGAATAAGTATGGGCCCTATAAATGCTACAGGTGTGCTGTCCCGTGCTTGTGAAAGGGCAATCAGGAGATTTAAAAAAGTGAGATTATATCCTGGGGCTGTTGGCCACACCTCCTTTCCAAACACTTGGGAGGCAGAGGCAGATGGATCTCCGAGATGGAGGCTAGCCTGGTCTACAAAGCTAATTCCAAGCCAGCCAGGACTGTGTAATGAGACTCTGCCAAAATAAATAGATAGAAAAAGATAGGTAGGTAGACAGACAGACAGAAAGACAAAAATATTTAAGTGAGACTAATATTTCAATATAATAGAATATTTGGTACCCAGGATAATTGTAAAAAATGACACTGAGGGTATCTGCTTGTTTGTGTATGTGTCTATCTGGTTTTGTTGTTGTTGTTTTCTTGCTAGAGAAAGAAATATGGGCACCAGGGTCTTTTTCAGTGTTCAGATCCAGCGGTGCTTGGGAAGGAAGTCTGCCGTGGTTAAATTCTAACTGTCCCTGATTTCCAAGGGAGAAGTCCAAACTGCCACTTGGGGATAATTCAGATTGACCCAGACCTTTGGTTCTCTACTAGCTGAGCTTGGGAAGTACCTAAATATAGGACAGTTAAAGTTTTGCTCAAAAAATGTGCTGTGGTGTGTGTGTGTGTGTGTGTGTGTGTGTGTGTGTGTGTGTGTGTGTTGGGGGAGTGGGGCTGAAACATGACACTGAATCCACTCACTTTTCCTGGGATCATCTTTAAGAAAGACGTAGAAGTCATGCCAGCTGCCACCGCCTCAGACTTGATTTTTTTTTTTCCTTTGTAAAGTCTCAGTGATATTCCTGCAAATACGCTCAGCCTCTTCTGCATTGGTTAAAGGGCATGTCTCATTAATTTTCTTTTAAGATTGCTGGCAAGGGCTCCGCTGTTGGAGGGAGACTTGGTGAGCGCTCACCTGTCAGGAGCCAGGTTGAGAAGTGCCCTTCAGTGCTCGGAAACAGTGGCCAATTGTGGCCCTGCCCTTCCTCAGGTGACCCGGGCTGAGTTTGCCAGGCCTGCCTCCAGAACACTGACTCTTTGATGAAGTGTCTGGCCCCCCGGGGGCAGACTGAGCCCTCAGTGGAGAGGCTCACATTGCCGGCATTATTTGGGCTCCTGGCAGAGCTGCACCGAGGAGCGGAGCGCAGGTTTTCCGAAGAAGGCGGCTTCCTGTTTTCATTAAGACTGGGGGGGACGGGGGGAATGCCGGACAGCTGAGTGTGCCTTGAGGGTGACGGCGGCGGGACGCCGGGAGCCCTCATTGGTGCACGCTGGGCCTATGGTGTCCCTGCGGGCCCGGGAGGTGTGCGCGCGAGTTGACAGGCGTTCCCTTAAGTGGAGAGGAGCGGAATCTGGGCCTCGGGTGCGGCGGCTGGAGGCTGTCCTGCTGTGGGCCTGCTGCGGTAGGTGAGCTGGGGAGGGCGGGTCCGCGGGCTGGGGTGGACTGGGGGGACCTGGGCCAGTGTTTAGGAGGTTAGGGCGACCTGCTGATGGCTCCGGCCCTTTCCCCGCTACCTCCCAACTCCCCTCCCCCATCGCCGCACTGTGAGCCCCGTTTGAGTGTTCCCCCCTCCCCCAGCCGACACCCGGAGTTGGTGGGATCTGTCTTCTCTTTCCTTCCTCTGGAATTTCAGACAGTTCTGGAAACAGGTCTGGCTGCATATTTTGAGCTAGCTCACTGTCCTGTAGAGTTGGAGAGAGAAGGGAAGACACGTTCTGTTAGCATGAGCTCAAATTTCCAGGCACTGGCTCCCGGTCCGCTCATGCTGGGGCACTTATTTTAAACAGAATTCCTTAACATTTACTCTAAGTAGTTTTAATACTGCTTTTTTGTGGTGGCGGCGGCCCTGGGGGTTTGGGTTTGGGGGTTATGTGTGTATAGGAAATGGTTGTGGGGGGGGGGGGGGGGGCAGGATGAGAACGTGTGAAAGTGTGCCCATTTTTATTCCTGCTTGGCAATCCTTCTAAACTTTTCAAAGTTTCAAAAGAGAGAAAAATGTAGAGGCAAAGGGGGTCATTCCCCACCAGCTGTACTATGGAGCAGTGTTGAGGGCTGGGAGGACAGGCAGCAGCCTAAATTTGCTTCAGATTTTTGGGCCGGACAATAGTGTAGGCAGGGGGATAACCAGGACTGGGGCGGGGGGGGGGGGGGGGGGACAGATGGCTCTCATGTTCACTCCTAGCTTTTGGTCCTTTCCATAGTCCTGAAAGTGCAGGCCTTCTCAGTGTGGCTATAGGAAAACATATGACCTAATCCTACAGTTTAAACAAACAACGGCCTTGCTTTCAAATTTGAAATGCATGGTTCAGATCAGCAACAAGTTCTATGCTTTGAAAGGTTCTTGTGTTTTTCTTTCTTTTTTTTTTTTTCTTCCTTATGTTTGGTTTAGCCAGAAGTAGCATTTACTGAATACCACATGACCCCAAAGTTGGGGTCTGGTGCTCTTACTTCCATTCAGACCTGTTTGGATTGCTTATGACTACAAAGCCGGGTATTTGTGAGTTAGTAAATGTTATGTCAGGAAGCAAAACAGGGCAGAGTGGAGAAAACTTGGCTCCAGTTGGGAGGCAGTTTTAAGTAGGGAAAGAAACCGAGCAGTAGGCAAAAGTCTGTCCTCTGACTGTACTCTTGCACCCTGGCTACCAGAGAACTTGCCCTGTTCTGTGTCTCCCCAGCCTGGAAGGAAGAAAGGGTTAGGGCAAAATGGAATCATTTGGAGACAGTCAGACCCTGGGTGGTTCTTGGCCACCGGAAAGAATGACTACCAGACCGACAGAAAAATGTACACACCATACGCACGCATTCACACTGACATCTCTGGCTCCGTGCTTCTGCCATGACCCATTCTCTTAGTCTGCTGACTTAGTGCATTTTGGGACTTAGTGGACACTGCCAAAGGTAGGAATCTTAGTAACTGCCCTCTTTTCCTTCAAAGAACTGTGGAAGACAAATGAAATCCACACAGCCATGTTGTAAGGCTTTTAGCACTAATGTAGTCTGTTTGGCTTTCAAGGCTATTGTTTCATAATATTATGAGTTGAATACTTAAATGTCCTTTTATTAATTGAGGGATGCTTAGTACTGTGGATTGCTCTACTATTGAGCTACATCCATAGCCGTCTTTACTGTTTATTTTGAAGTAAGATCTCTTTCAGTTGCCAAATTGGCCTTGAACTTAGTCTCCTCCTGCTTCAGTCTCCCCAGTACCTAGGACTCAGACTTGTCCCATGGTGATGGGAAGTGTCTCCAACTTCATTCAGAGAGTTGAAGTTCAGAAAATAGGACTCAGCACTTGGGAGGCAGAGGCAGGCGGATCCTGTGAATTCAAGGTCAGCCAGGTCTACAAATTGAATCTAGGACAGCCAGGGCTACACAGAGAAACTCTGTCTTGAAAAACCAAAAAAAAAAAAAAGAATATGGGACAAACAACTCTTAAATCAGACTAGCTTGTGCTACACTCCACAAATAATTGTTCTTTTTTTAGTATGAACATGTAATAGGAATATAGATATGTAATGTGTGTGTCGTTTCCTTCTCTCTCTTAGAAAAAGCAGATGAAGTTCTGAATGGAGACCATAACAAGGAACAGAAAGACCCATATTTTGTGGAAACCCCGTATGGTTTTCAGCTAGATTTGGATTTCGTCAAATACGTGGATGACATTCAGAAGGGAAATACGATCAAGAAACTGAACATCCAGAAGAGGCGAAAACCATCGGCACCATGTCCAGAAGTCAGGGCCCCACCTGGTCCTCAAGGTGTGTGGACTTCCACTGAATCCCTGTCGTCCTCCAACAGTGATGACAGCAAGCAGTACCCCAGCTTCCTCCTAGCCAGGAGCCACGTTACGTCAACCCCGATCCCACGGCCACCTGCCCCCCTAGAGAACTCATCTACTTTTGCCATCCCAGAAAATCGACAGCTGCTGCCCCCTCCCTCACCCCAACTCCCAAAGCACAACCTTCATGTCACCAAGACGTTGATGGAGACCAGGAGAAGGCTCGAGCAGGAGAGACTCACCATGCAGATGGCACCGGGTGACTTCAGAAGGCCCAGGCTGGCCAGTTTTGGGGGCATGGGCTCCACGAGCTCCCTCCCATCCTTTATGGGTTCTGCTAATCACAACCCTGCCATGCACCAGCTTCAGAACGGCTATCAGGGCAATGGGGATTTCAACAGCTGTGTCCCAGCAGCTCCCACCACGTCCTCCATCGGGAGCTCCATCCGGCACAGCCCACTCAGTTCAGGGATCTCCACCCCAGTGACCAACGTGAGCCCCACGCACCTGCAGCACATCCGAGAACAGATGGCCATCGCCTTGAAACGCCTGAAGGAACTTGAGGAGCAGGTGAGAACCATCCCCGTGCTCCAGGTTAAGATCTCTGTCTTGCAAGAAGAGAAAAGGCAGTTGGCCTCGCAGCTGAAAAACCAGAGGGCCGCGTCCCAGAACGACTTGTGTGGTGTGAGGAAGCGCTCCTACAGTGCAGGCAACGCGTCCCAGCTGGAGCTGCTCTCCCGAGCCCGAAGGGGTGGCGGTGGCGGGGAATTATACATTGACTATGAAGAGGAAGAGATGGAGAGCGTGGAGCAGAGCACCCTGAGGATCAAGGAGTTCCGGCAGCTCACGGCCGACATGCAGGCGCTGGAGCAGAAGATTCAGGACAGCAGCTGTGAGGCCGCCTCAGAGCTCAGGGAGAATGGGCAGTGCCCGTCTCGGGAGTGCAAGTCTGTGGCTGTGGGTAGCGATGAGAACATGAATGACATTGTTGTGTACCACAGAGACTTCAGGTCCTGCAAGGATACGGCTGTGGGGACAGTCACCGAGACAAGGAATTTTGGCATCAGCGTGACAGAAGCCATGCTCGGGGTTATTACTGAGGCTGACAAAGAGATTGAGCTACAGCAGCAGACCATAGAGGCCTTAAAGGAAAAGATTTACCGCCTGGAAGTACAGCTTAAAGAAACGACCCATGACCGGGAGATGACTAAGCTCAAGCAAGAACTACAGGCTGCTGGATCCAGGAAGAAAGTTGACAAGGCCACAATGGCCCAGCCCCTTGTCGTCAGCAAGGTGGTGGAGGCCGTGGTGCCAACCAGAGACCAAATGGTTGGCAGTCATGTGGACACAGTGGATTCGTGTGTTGGGACCTCTGTGCAGACAAGCAGTGTGAGCACCTCCTGCCATCCTGACCGCAAGAATCAAACCGTGGGGCCTGAGCTGCCCATGAATTGGTGGGTAGTGAAGGAAAGGGTGGGAATGCATGACCGATGCATAGGGAGGTCTGTGGAGACTTGTGACCGGAGCGTGGGGGTGGAAGTCAGCGTCTGTGAAACAGGCAGCAACACAGAGGCTTCTGGGAGTGACCTAACACTCCTCAAGACAAACTTGAACCTCAAAGACGTGCGGTCCATTGGCTGTGGAGATTGCTCCATTGACGTGATTGTCTGCTTTCCCAAGGAGTGCACCTCACGAAGCATGAACACAGAGGCTCTAGGCCGGGAGGAAGCTGCTGTCATGGCGGTGCCTCATACCACAAACCAGCACACCAGCACCAATCTGGAGCAGGTGGACCAGGGCACTAATACGGAGGCGGCCACCCTGGTGGAGTCCTGCACCAACACTTTCCTCAGCACTCTGGAGAAACAGACCAGCACCCAGACAGTGGAGATGCGAACGGTGGCCATAGGAGAAGGCCGGGTCAAAGACATCAACCCCTCTGCTAAGACTCGGTCTGTTGGTGTTGGGACAGTGCTGTCTGGCTCTTCTGAGTTTGACAAGCCATCTGCTGTGAAGACCAAAGAGTCGGGTGTGGGACAGATAAATATCCACGACAGCTATCTGGTTGGTCTCAAAATGAGGACCATAGCGTGTGGGCCTCCGCAGCTGACCGCGGGACTGATGGGCAGCAGAAGGAGCGTGGGTGTTGGGCACGAGCCAGTAGGGGATCTACCGGAGGAGCCCCCTCAGCCTCAGGTCGCACCTGGAATGATGACTGGCTTGAATCACTACATCGAGCGCGTGCAGAAGCTGCTGGCAGAGCAACAGACATTGCTGGCTGAGAACTACAGTGAGCTGGCGGAGGCTTTTGGGGAGCCTCATTCACAGATTGGCTCCCTCAATTCGCAGCTCATCAGCACCCTGTCATCCATCAATTCCGTCATGAAGTCTGCAAGCACGGAAGAGCTCAGGAACCCCGACTTCCAGAAAAACAGTCTGGGTAAAATCACAGGTAGGTGGGACCTGAGAATGAGAACGTGGGGAAACTTATACGTGGGGAAACTTCGTAGCCTGAGGCTCTGAATAGGAAGTCCAAAGCATGGCACCAACTTTCAGCAAGGTCCATTTTGCTCTGTTGTAGCAAAGGGTATGTAAAAAAATTATGGTGAGATGGAGCAAGAATAGACTCATTGCCAGGATGGTGACATCAGTCCGTTCATGGGGGCAGAGGGATACATTTTCTACCTCATGAATTGTTGGGAACACTTTCAAACCTTAAGAAAGATGAGGAGAATGTCTTTCTAGGAAGTAAGGCCCTTTTTGGTTTTAGCTGCTGGCACCATTCTTTGGAGACATGGAGAAAGCTTCAGGATGGTAATGAGCTGAATGCAAACCAAGAGCCTGGATCAGCAGCCTTGCTGATCCTCAGTATCTCGTAACTCCTTTGGCCTCTGGCTTCAGGACAACAGAAGGAAGCAGGTCCACGAGGCCTGGCTACACCTGGGGGTGTCCTCTGAGGAATTATAAAATGCTTCATGTCTGTCTTCTGGTTATGCATTTGCTCATTTTATACAGAACTGCTTTAAAAACTCCTGTATTGTTTATACGAGTAATTGTCAGTAAATGACCAATTAAAAATTCTAGAGGGAAATGTTCTCTGTTAACATTTTATGAGAGGGCAGACACTTCATCGACTTATTAAGATGGCAAGTAACCTTTGAATTACCACTTCATCTCAGCACAGGCACAGGCTCTGAGGATAGCTTAGGGAGTTCAAACAGCGTGCCTCCCTGCTGGGTCACCAGGCCATAGGCAAGAGTGTTAGGTCAGGAAGTAGCACGCGTTATCTAAGCTCTGCCTCCAGTTATGGGGACAGGGAGTGAAGTGTCTGGAGTGGAAGGTATGCTTTTGAGATGAGGGACCCATAAGCAAGAGCTGACAACAGGGGTCTTTTTCCTTTGCTCATGATGATCAGTACATGCACTCATACCCTTCTCACATCCCTTGAGATTCCTGCTTGTCTGTTTTTCTTCAACTTGAAGCCTGTCATTGAGCAATCACCCTGGAATATGTTTGGGTGTAGCATCTTCCCAAGAGACTCGTTGAAATGACTTTCCTTGGAACTCTGACAGTACACAGTGCCCAATAGGCCTGGGCACAATCCCAGGCTCCCATTCCCTGGTTCTGTAGTTCTCATGAACTAGCATTACTTAGAAAGAAGCGTGCTCATTAAGGTAGTTTGGGGGCTATAGATTTTAGTAAGACACCCAAAGAAGTCTCATTGTGCCTCTTTATGTCCAGAAAGGACAGCCATGAAAGTAGACTAGCAGATACCCTATCTGTATCTTCCTAGGTTTATGCTTTTAAATCACGGTGATTATTAGTTTTTAGTATCTGTGCACTAGGACCAAGTTTATTGTGAAAGAAAAATATGACAACTGATACTTATGTGGTTTTACCTTTTAGAATTCAGAGACTCAAATATACAGAGGAGTTATTCTAGAATAAACAGGATTAGACTTATAATGTGGGCTAACATCTGCCTTCTCATCTTTTAAAAAAAAAATCATGATGTCAGAATAGACTTCTTCATCACCTCAGACACAGGTGGCAGGCGGGATTATGAAAACATGTTTTTCCCAGCCTGACTGCCTTCCTCCCAAAACTAGAATTACTATTTCACACTCTTGTCAAGAATACTGCACTGTACCCCTGGACCAGTTTGTGTGGCCTCCTGAGCACAGAGGCTGGGGAATGTTTTATTTGACTAACATGATGTGTTTGGGGCTGTGTCCAGTTATGCTGTGATTCCATACATTGGCAAGTAGCTCCGACCCTGCAATGAACACCTAATAAACCATCGAATACACAGGAGATCTGTGGCAGCTGGGAACAAAAGGAGAAAATGCCGTCGGGAGCAGGTGGTTAGTTAGAGTGGCAACCCCTGTCAGAGCACACGAGAGCGCAATCTTAAAGACTGTCTATAACTCATGCCACATACATATTGTAACCAAGGTCTGACAAGAAAGGAATTAGATCAAGAATTTACTCCACGTTGGGCGACTGCATATGTGGACTGAAAATTTAGGCAGCTTGCTACAGGAAGGGTAGTAGCAGTCTTTTATTTGTTCTGAGACAGGGTTTCCCTGTGTAGCCTTGGCTGTCCTGGAACTCACGCTGTAGACCGGGCTGGCCTCACAGAGACCCATCTGCATCGGCCTCCCAAGTGCTGGGATTAAAGGTGTGCCGCCGCCACCCAGCCTGGTGGCAGCATTCTTACTGTCTGCAAGCCATGTGTAAGGAAGTGTCACAGGACACTGGATCACAGTGACTTATAATCCAGAGTATCGCTCACAGAGTGCAGAATGCATGTCACTGCCGAAAGGCATTAGTTTGTACAAGCATATCCTCAAAAAATTAAATAAATAAATAAAAAAGTAATAACAATAATAAGGAATTGGTTCTGACAGGCCTGAGTATCAGTAGTCCTCAGGCAGTCTGAGTCCGGATTCTGTCTGCTGTCTTTGTGCCTTCACACGGTTGTAATGAAGAGTCAGGGAGTGGAAGAGGGGAGCTTGGCGTAGTCCACAGCACGGAGCATCAGTGCTGAAAGTTGCTGCCTCTGCTGTCTTAGCTCTTCCAGAAATGGATTCATTAAGAAAAGTTGCCAAGCAAAGCTTATGGGAATAACCTTTGATTGCTTTTTTTTTTTTTTTTTTTTTTAATTTTTACTTTTTTGTTTTGAATGTGTGTTTTGCCTGAATATGAGTGGTTCCTGCAAAGGTCAGAAGGAGCATCACATCCCCAGAACCTAGAATTATAAATGTTTGTGAGCCACCATGTAGGTGCTGGGAATTGAACCATGTCCTCAAGAGCACTGTTTACTATCTTGCTGGGCTGTGGTGATGCACACCTTTAATCCAAGCGCTCAGGGGGCAGAGTTTGAGGATAGTCTGGTCTACAAAATGAGTTCCAGGACAGCAAGGGCTGGCTGTCCTGGAACCCTGTCTGGGGGGTGGGGGGACGACACTCACTGAGTCATCTCATTAGCCTCCTCCCCTTGTAATCTCAAAAAAAAAAAAAAAAAAAAAAAAAAGAGTCTTTTGAGGCAGGGTTTCTCTGTGTAGCCCTGGCTGCCCTAGGCCTCACTCTGTCAACTGCACTGGCCTGGAAGTACCACCTGCCTCTGCCTCCTGCAGTGGTGGAATTAAAGGCTTGTACCACCATTGCCCAGCTTAATCTCAAATTTTTATGTTCATAATTGTATCTTGTGAATTCACACACACACACACAAATTATTATGCCTGTCCGACTAACATTTTTATGTAGCTTGTGTCTTAGAAACATGCTTTCTTTTTCTAACAAAATTTGAATCCCAAATCCTGCTATTTCCCCCCGTATATTTTCTTACTTAAGTGGCCATGAGCATTCTCCCGGGATTTGAGGGACAGTGTGTTCATAGCTTTGACACAGCAGAACTTGGTGATGAGTAGTTGTGTTTCTCCAATACAGTTAAAAACGGCCAGAGGAAATGAGTTCACTCCCTGCTTCTCTTGACAAACCCTCACTGGATGGATCAGACTGGCCTTTTACTGCATCCTTCCAGGTGTGCACTGTGACACACACACACACACACACACACACACACACACACACACACACACA